AAAAGGACATGGGAAGTCAGGATGCACACACAGCATTCTGCTGAATTACCCTCCTTTCCCTCGTAAAAAATTGACTGTAGCAGTCCCATATTAACAGTGTGATCTCAATGAATATTAAACTTTTGATTGATGATTTATTAGATTCAAATTTGTTCCCGCTGATTAACTGACACGCATAGAATAGGTTTCTTTCAGGATTGTAGTGTGGCCGCCGTCCACTGTTCATTCCTAAGCAGAGCCTCACCAGTATTTGCAATGTGTCACAGTTGAAAGCCTGGTCTGGGATTATTCACACTGTTTAATCAGAACAAGGATGCAGAATGCATGTAATGAGGTTCTATTTGCATGTTTAAACACTCAATGAAGTCCTTAATTTAACACCCTAATAGTGCCCTTTTAGCCGTGCTACATAGGGAAGCGGTGTTAATCTCTGCTGTGCTCTGCGGGGAAGGATGTGATATAAGAAAATTGGAATATATTGCGCAAAAAGTTTGTAACCTGATAGAAAAAGACTTGCTAGCAACAAGTGCTGTTGATTGGGAAGGCTTTCGGTTAGCACTGCTAACAGCACAAAGTTGTTTGATCACACACAGAGCTATATCACATCTATCATCAATTTCATTAAAGCAAAGTGGCAAATGATCTGACGGCATGTGACATCGACGTATGCTGTCTTTTAATGATAGTTTTATATCTCTATTCATTGGAAATTCTAACACTGTATTATTCTTTTATTAACTAACCTTATAGGTACCTGTTTTGGTATGTCATATATATATATATATATATATATATATATATATATATATATATATATACATACATATGTATAAGTTTAAAGGTAAATAGTAACGCTGTATATTTCAGCACTGGGCGCGATGAGATGACAAACGGATGCGGCACCATCTGATGTAATACTGCAAAGCCAGATGGTGACTACCAAATAGAGCTCGACCTCTAAAGAGACGTGGTAAAGCAGCTGCTAGATGTAATTGAAGACCAAATGATATTGAATAAATTAACCAATCTAACTTTTACTTAATAAAATCTAGATGCCTCATATCAGAACATCAAGGAGAACGAAAATTCCTGATCTCAACAAATGCAAACAGGGATGCAGCATCAAAAACAAATTAATCAAATTATGTTTTTTTTGTGCTTCGGACTGAGAAAATTGAGAATAAATTCATTCTGCAGCCACATCTGAATGCCTTTAGATTTAGCTTGCACCTTAATGAACACCAACCTGTATGTTGTATATCGAACCCCGTTCCTGTCTTATTCCTTTTGGAATCACATATTTGTTTGGAAAGATCCTCTTAATACATCAGAACACTTAGGCTTTTTAGAAAATGGCCACTTATTTAATAATCATTAGTCTATGATAAGATCGGCCAACTTTACATCAAATTATTAATTGATAACTTGCATCAATTTGTAGGAGTTAACCTGAGCCCTGCACATCATCAGTCTGGCTAGCCAGGTTGGGAAATTATAAGAAACTAGAGATATTGCAGCTGCCAATAAGCACAGAGTCTTTGATGTACAGTTGCTGCTGTATTATGGACAGCAACTGTACATCAGTACTACTTCCTAGACTTTCAGGCTATGTTCACACAGCAGCCTTATGTGACCCAAATCCGATTTTTTTTTTGGCCATATGCAACCTGTATCTCATCTTTAATGGCAGTCTGAACAACACAGATCCAAATTTTTTCCAATGCGACCTAGGCTACATGGCTGTGTGGTCCTGAATCCGATATGAGTCTGATCTTTTCAAATGCGACCTGTGTCTGAACAACCAGGTTGCATTCATCCGACCTGAATGTCATTAATTTTCAACAAAGATCACTATTCTGCATCTTTCAACAATCATGGTGGACCATAATGTGAAGAGAAGCCTTTATTTTTCTTTTTTTTTCTTTTTGACTTTCTTGAAAAGATTGTGTTTTTAAGGTAGGGAAAGAGCGCTACAGTAGTAGCCATCCAATATTTCCCCATTTTCCTTGATGGGCCCTTGGCTGGTCCCCTACAATACATTTTTTAAACATAAATATTTTTACTATAATATTCTTTCTTTCATGATTTGTGGTATTTAAGATCTAAAGAGAAACACCTTCTCCAAGTCAGACTGTAGATGCGCTACAGCACTACTTCCGCAGAAACAGAGCACGTTTGTTTGTGACATCATTTTGACCTCTATTGTGCATGTGTTACACTTGCATTGTATGAATGCAGTTCACACTCGCATATATTTGGAAATGTAAATGTCAACGCATAAAAAAATGGGATTTCACAAAAATAAATTGGAATTGTGCATTATGGCCTGCCATGTGAACGTAGCCTTAGATGCTAAATTTCTCCTCACTTCCTGCAGGAGTAACGTTCTTCTCCAACTGGCCCATGCTGCTTAGCAGCTTAGCTAACATTTACCGTAGTGTACCTGCTGTTTTCTTCATTGTCTCAGAACTGTCGGTACTTTATCTAATGGTTGGCCTATTCTAACAAAGAGGCAAATATAATAAAAATAATACAGAATCTCAACCTTCACAGTGAGAAGGTTTAACTCTTGATTGACGCCGTAGTTTTATTTTGTATTTTTTTAATTAATTATATATTTTATTGTCTCTGGACTAGTAAAACACTTTTTGACAGACCCTTCGATATTGCTTCCTCCTGTCATTTCTAATGCATTAGAAAATTGTCCTGTTCTGAATTCAATTAACTGTGCTGTTTTACAATTCATTCATTAGTGCTTTAGAATATGAATATGTATAGGGATAAGATATAAGTTTAGTTATCTCTAAGTGGTTTATGCTATACATCAAATAAATGACAAGTAAATACTTATGGTATATATTGTCGCATATTTTTTCAGCTGAATAATTATCGTATGGTTTTTCAAATTTGTAAATACAAGGGCAACATATTGTGTTATTTAACAATTCTTGTATCAACACATGCAGCTGCAGATTTTGGCATTTTTAGCAGTATTCCATGTTTGTACTAATTAAATTCTAACATTTTCTACTTTGCCGTTTGCTACTATTACTTTTAAAACCTTAAATGTCCCATGTGTTTAATCGTTTGACCGCCTTTTGAATTAATGAAGATATGTAGACTTGGATTTAAAGAATTGGCAGCAGGTGTCTGTCTGCCCTGTATGTCTACAGCTGCCTGCGGACGCATTGTGGTTTGTCTGACATATTCTGTTTTGGGGCAGATGGGCAATAGAATCTGGAAGTTCTCTCTTTGCCTCCTTTAAAAAGCCTCAGCAACTGATATCCAGATTACCCCCTCCCCTCCTTTAACAATACTCCCTCTCCAGGGAATTATACCCAGCCTTTCCCCTTTATATTCCTACTACACAGATGTTAACAGGCACGTGTTGGGGAATGCTTCTCGGTTAGATGATTGATGAGGGCAGTCATTGTGATCGGTATAAATATAACCCATTTTCTTGCTCTCTGTCATCTGCTTCTTTCTTGTATTTTTGGGGAGGGTGGCAGGGTCAAGCTCTCCAGGCTTTCGTTTTAATCCCATTAAAAACGCGTAAGAAAGACATTGAGGGACAACACTCTTGACATTGTAATCTGGGAGAGCGTGCCGATTGTTCTTGATTTCCCCGAAATGAATCCTTCCTGGCCATGCTCCAAGTTCTTTCATCATCCAACTCCTTTTACATTTCCTTACATGTGACTCGCAGTCATAGCTGGTTTATGTTGAACAGAAATGTTGTGATTTCCATATTTTGATTTTCTTATTTGCATTGTCTTAAAAACTGACTTTTGATTTTATTTTTTACTGAAAAATACTTTGATAAAACCTAATCATTGAAAAAGTAATTTGTAATAATTACTTTACAAATTGTGACATGATACCGCTGCAGGACAAAGCTGTCACCTTAAAGAGGGATTGTTTTATTATATTAAAAGAAGACAAAATGATTACATGATATATATTAAATCATTTTTAATTCTTATAGAAGCAGTTTTTATGGTGTGAAAGTCTCAGAGAACATAGAGCCTTACCTTTACCCAAGGTTTCGAAAAGATGCCTTATATTTCTAGATCCAGCATTTCTTTATATAAAAGTTTAAAGGCCAATAAGATAAAGCAGTTATGCTGTCTATCAAGCTCTCTTTTTATCTGCTGAAAACCTCACCCTATGTCACAGCCCTGAATAAACTTGCAGCTGAAATAGCTAATGCATCTCTTTGCTTTCCCTGACTTCATTTATTCAGTAACTGCATCCAGTACAAGTGTGTACCAAGTATGGCGTGTTTATAGATTGGATAATGGTCAGATCTTATTTTTTGTATTAGTTTCCCAACCATCTATTCACCAGTCCTCACTGATCAAGCTAAAAATCAACCAATCACTGGCTGATTACTTGGATAATCTTCAAGGGGCTTTTGATTTTTAACATCATTATGATTCACCATAATCAATCAATTAAATGGAGAAAAAAAACACTTTATACTTTCTACTTTTTTTCAACAGTATTGCACTCAGGGTTGACTGAGTTTTTTTGGAAACCTTTTTCAGTCAGTGACCTAACCGGCAGTTTATGATGATGACTTGGTCCCCTAAGCTGTTTGAGCTGCCATTTTCACCATAGGTCATTATCCCTTCTGAATATCTTTAGTCATGCACAGAAGACTACTGTTGTACATTTAGAAAGTTGCTGGACTCCTGTAGACAAAGTCCTCTTGATTACTGCTGGTTGCTGCAGACATCCAGCCTAGTTACCATTGAGCCAGCATGTTTTACCTGGCTTTAGAGGAGATTTACTGTGCACTTTCTTTTTGGTGAAAAACAGGTCTGCACAGTTTTCTCTTGCAAACAGATGTCCTTAAATTTGACTTTTGACATGACAGAAGAAGGGCAAGGCTTCCATTAACATCTCTGCCAAGTTATATTTTATTTAATTCTGTAGATAAGGAACTAAAACCCCTGCCTAATAGTTTTTATTTCTCCCATTTCATTTATTCTTCATAGGCAGGCCAAGCCAGCAGGAGTTTCGTCCCAACAGAACTCTGAGATTGATGACTCCTCAGATTTTCCTAGTGAGGAAGACGAAAGTCTATATGGGACATCTCCTCCTTATACCCAGCGTCAAATGAAACGCATGTTTGGCAAACAAAAGAGTAGCCAGTCCAGGGGTGCTGGGCGATCTCCAAACAAAGGTAATTTAAAAAGCTGATATCTCCAAACAGCAAGGAAATTCTTCAACTGTACTGACTTCTATGTTTCTTTATATTCCAGCAGATGTAAGCCCATCAATCCAGGCAGAAAGTCCCAAGCCAGCTGAGAACACTGAGGAGATCAGCTATAAGCAGGGTAAAAAGCAGAGGACCACAATCCGTTCTACAGAGAGAGACCACAAGAAGACCTTCGATGACTCTTACATTGTAGAGCCAATCTCAAAGCCGGGCAATTTGGGTTCTCTTAGCATGGGTCCAAGGAAACATTATTTGAGCCTCGGCTGCAGCAGTGGCAAGCTGCCTTTGACTATGCCACATATTGCACGGACCCATCGACAAACCTCCAGGACAGACTGTCCCGCTGATCGCCTCAAGTTCTTTGAAACTCTACGCCTGCTGCTCAAACTCACATCTATGTCCTCTAAGAGGAAGGAAAAGGAGCAGAGGGGCTTGGAGAACATGGCCTTCATGGGGCACAACAATGAGGTCATTTGGTTGGAGCTGCAGGCATGGCACGAACGGCGTTCCACTAGTGACCAGGACCTTTTTCTATTCACTGAACGCAAAGCTATCCCTGAAATCATCAGCAAGGTGCTGCACTTTAAGGTCAACTATGACAGCCTGAAAGGCGCTCAGTGTTTGGAGTCTCAAATAACCCAGGGACTCTGTCAGATTGAGCAGAAATCATTTGCTGTAGCAGAGACCAACCACTGTGGAGTAGACACCTGGGGCTTTAGTGCCTGTCCTTCGTCAGCTATGAATGCAGCCGAGCCTTTAGGTTCTGGTGCTGATTGCAGGGAGCACCTTCAACGCCAGCGGCTGGCTTTCGAGCAAGTCAAGAAGGTTATGGAACTCTTGGAGTCTGTTGAAGCCTTGTACCCGTCGTTACAGGCTCTGCAAAAGGACTATGAGAAGTATGCAGCACGAGATTTCCAAGGCAGAGTGCAGGCGCTCTGTCTGTGGCTCAATATTACCCAGGACCTCAATCAGAAACTGCGAGTTATGGCCACTGTGTTGGGTCTTCATGACCTATCACGTATTGGGTGGCCCGTTTTCGAGATACCCTCACCCCGCTGCTCCCGTGGAAATGAAGAAGAGAACGAGGAAGATGAGGAGAATGACTCAACAGCCACTTTTACTGCTGACAGTGATCCTGAGGACAGGGATGCAGAGGTGGAGGGGGAGGTCGGACATCTAGCAGAGGAAGAGCTGTCTCCCATCCTGACACCCAAATTTGCCCGACTCCTGTCAGAGGAGGAGTTTCTCCCAGCCGCTGCTTCTGGAAGTGCAGAAGCGGCTGCTGGAGGCGAAGTGTTTTGCCCCACAGCTATTTACAGACCATTTGTGGATAAAGCTCTAAAGCAGATGGGATTGCGTAAACTGATACTTCGGCTGCACAAGCTGATGGACCGCTCTCTTCAGAGGGCAAGAGCGGCGCTGCTCCGACACACTCCTGCTCTGGAGGTAAGGGCATCGTTTCTCTAACAGAACCATCTACATGTCAGTCAGTAATTCTGTCTATGGTCCACAAATTTTACATTTAATCTAATCTAAAAATAATCTCATAGTATGTCCAGCTGTTTGCATGTGGCTGATAAGCAATTATCTACAATCAAACTATTTTCTCAACTTATCAAAAGATTTACCTTTCAGGGTCAAAATGACCAATTTATTTGGTGTTAAACTTTGATTCTATAGTTCCTATTGTATTTGTCTCACTTGATTTCTACATCAATTACTTTAATCACTTTCCCATCATTGCCAACAATACTAGGACAATATTGGGGCTTAATTTTTTATATCAGGCAAATGATCATCAGGAAGGAATCAATAAGAAAAAAAAACACACTTTGGTGTTGGCTTGTCATTTATTAAATAAGCTAGTAAACCTGCATTAACACCAGAGGATCAAACATTTCTTTATTTATAAAACACTTTTTAATAACAAAGGTCATGAAGGTGCTGCACAAGCAATTGAAAACGGTAAAATTAAAACAGGCTACAGGGCTCGATGTTAACCATCGCCCGGGGCAAGTAGTTTTTATTGTCAGGAGAGTACAAATTTCATTGCATTTGCCCGCCAGGCAAGTGCAATGATCGCAAAAAAAAAAAAATTTACCACTCAAAATTACTTTAAAATCACGGACATTCGCTGAAAATGACCCACAAGCGTTGCCGGCGCCATCTTTGTTGTTTTGTACACATTCTTGCATGATTTGAAAAAGCTGCGTGATTTTTCGCTAGATGGCGTGATTCAGCTCTTGGGGAGAGAATTCGGCAGAGCAGCACCTGTGTATTATAGTATAGATCATCTATACTATAATACACGCTAGATTAAAAATGATCAGGAAAATAATAATAATATTTGCATGCGCACAGTGTAAATATTTCTATCATATGGCAGTCTTCTGTACAGTGGTCATACATTAAAAAATGTTCATTCAATTTTTTTCTCTTAGACATTGGAGTGGTGCATTTAAATGTTATAGAGCTAAACATGTTAAATTGGTGAGTAGTAGTAGTGTAAATTTTTAACCTGTCAACTTTTTTTTTAGATTTTTAACATTACAATTTA